GTAACATTCAGTGTTACACTATCGTTGTTGACGTCTCCATCAACCGCAACCACCAACTTCACCACTCCTGCTACCACCCCACATGTGCATACTATGTCACTCAACTACCACATTCGTTGTCACTCTATGTTATATCCACCGTCACACCACCATGGAAGACGTCATTGCTGGCAACACCACCTCTCCTAGCCACTACAAAAACAAAAACCACGCGTATACACATCACCAAACATTACTTATTTCAATTTGGACAATAAATAAACCTCTTACTAGATCGATGCATTAACCAAAGTAAACTCTATTGAATTGATGTTTATCTAGATCAATGATTTTGGATTCGGTTTACGAAAATAGGATCTGAAATCAGATGTGCAATTGAAGGAAAAAGTAGCTGTAGCAATAAAAGAAAAAGGTGGTGGTAAGCGGCAATGGAATGGGAAATGAGGTTGAGGTTGAGGTTGAGGTGGCGTACGTAGAAGGTTGAGCCTCTTGACTCTGCCAACCACATGAGCTAACTCTCTTCAAGGAAGTTCGGCTCAAGTTGTGCTCGCCTCTTGGTGGGACAAGCCGAGCCAACTCTCAAGCTAGTAAATTTATTTTTTAGTTGAAAAGTACTTTCATGGGTTTGTGAGCCATTGCACTAGTTTTTGCTGCTTGGCTCGCACTCATAGCTCGTCTCGAGCGAGAGCCAAATTACTCGACTAGTGAGTGGCTAAGCCGAACGACGAGCAACTCACTCCACTTCGCATCCCTACGCTTAGATGAGTAAGGCTAGAGGCTTGATCTCCACGTCTTATCATACCCGCACCTTTTAGAACCTTGAAAAATAGTGCTTAGCCACTCAACTCACTTTTTACCCCTACATCTAGACGAGTAAGGTGAGACACTCACGTCTCACCAAACCTTACGAGTTTTAGAACCTTGAAAATAAGTCATTCATACATTTGACATTATACGGGGCGATGCTTGGTTTGAAAGTTGCGAATGTAAAACAACACATAGCAATGGGTTGGAAGACAAGAGGTTGGTGTTAGGAAAGATGACTATTTTTCTCTTTTTGTTATTTAAGACTATTTTTTTTATTTTTTTGCTTATTTAGCCACTGTTTGTCTCCCGTTAAAATAAAATATTTTAATGTCATACTCATTTTTCAATACACATTTATACAATAAAAAATGTTGCACTTAAATTCAAATTTTTTTCTTACTTTCAACCATGTATTCTTTAAAAATCCACTATTTAAATATCATTTTTTTTCAATAATGGCTATCAAATAGGGGCTTAGATATAAGGACAATTTTACCTTTCCCCGCTAGCTTAACGGTTTTTTAGACAAAACAATTGATATGAGCTACCTGCACCTAAACCTAGAAATTGGGTTGAAAATGTTAATAACAAAAATTGTAGACCTAGTACTCAATGTGGAACATAATTTAATCCCTCGTTTGATCTCTATTTTTTTTTGTTAGAGAAATGTGTTTTGAAATAGTATTTTTTTTTAAGAATATGTGGTTAAAATAAAATAAAAAGTTTTCAATTTACGTGTAAAATTAATTTATGAGATAATGTGTTGTTGAAAATAAATTTAAAAAAAACGAGTTTTTAGAAAACAATCACGTTATATGTACATCTTGTTTTACATTATTTTTGACATTGTACTACGTGTCAACACATGATGGACAGTTAAAAAAAAGACACTTTTTCGCTCAAAATTTTTTGAATTTTCACACAATATACACAAAGATGTAACCTATGAAATGTATACTTAGGCTCTGTTTGGGAGAAATTTTAATCAAAATTCTTGCCGTTAACTATCAAATCAGCCACCATTTTTTACTTTCTTTCTCACAGGTGGGGCCCACAGGTTGACTATAACGGCTATAATTTTGATTAAAATCCCACAAAAATTGCTCCCAAACACTATTCTCTTCGGAGCTGGTGCACGANCACGGCAATATTAAGCCCGATTTGACAATCATTATTTGAAATTTTTTTTTTGTACGTATTCATTTTTAATCACGTATTTATACAACTCAAAAATTTCACTTACTCTATTCTTCTAAAATTTATTATTCAAAATATTGTATTTTCAAACAATGATAGTCAGTCAAATACGGGCCAAAAGAGTCGAGTTTAAAGAGCAAAGGGGTTTAGGGTTTTTACTCTAAATCCAGATTCCAGAAGCACAAGTGTTCGAGAGCTAGGAATAGAAAAAGGTGGAATATGGATTCATTCTCCTCGCCGTCTGTTGGATCGTCGCCAAAATTCTCAACTGAGGATTTGATGGGTCAGCTCAAAGTACAGCTTGCCCAGGCTTATGCTGAGGAATTCCTCGAGGTATAGATATATAATATAAATACATTTACTATCACAGATTTCTTATTAATATCGTGATTATAACGATCAGATTTCCCTTTTTGTACATCTAATTATATGCCTCTTTGTTCTTTTGGGCCTTCCTTTTGTTTATGTCTTTTGGAAGTAATGTGTCATAAACAAAATATAAAGCAATGTAAATCACCAGATAGCTATGGGGTATCCCATGACTTAAGTTAAATATTTTCAAGGAGTACCAATCTTGTAGGACCAACTGAGATCAATTTGATTTTGATTCTGGAAAATGAATTGAAATGTTTGCATCTGGTTGTGGAATGAGGAGGTCTTGTGGGATTTATGCGTAGTTTGTGCAGTTTTATTTGTTTGCTAGCTAGATGATAGAATAAGGCAGATAAGAAAAAAGATGGGGTTAGGATTGAATAGAGAACCATATGGCTTCTTTGGGTTGAACATGGGTGTCACAGCTAACAACTACCCTTACAGAATAAGTTTTTCATATATAGGCGGAAGGAAGCTGGGGAGAGAATTCCAGTTAAAACCCATTTCCCTTCGTCAACACTATCAATTGCTAAAAAAAAATTGAAGAGAGAAGCTCTATTCTTTTGTACGATTACACTAGCGTGTCTAATGTGGATTGGGTTAGGATTAACCAGGCAGGCATCTATTGCACTCTGAGTTTAGGGAAATGGATTTTAACTTATGCAAAAGTATCATCAAAACTGTTACTTCCAGATTCGACAAAATGGAATGCAACTAGAAGACCCAAATGAAATCTAATTATACCACTCCTTGTCTAATTGATCATTTACAGGAGGTGTTGCTGCTCTGTGTTATCTCAATATATACCAATAATGATTACCACATAAATTAGACCATTCATCTTTTACATTCAACAAATAACCAAATTTCTTTTTCAATAGATTATACAAGCTGAGAGCTTTAACAAAGTTGAGTAGAACTGTCATCATGTTAACTATGTGCACTTCCATCAGCTGTTATCCATCAATTTACCACTGTGAGACTCATTCCAGTTTGGACTATCAGTCAAATGTCTTGATCAGAAAAACTATACAATAAGCTGTTTCTTATTTTAATTTAAATTAATTATGATGAACTGCTTTCATATCTGGCATCCAAAGGGGTGCAGAGATATATATTCTTTATAGACTTGATGCAAATGGTTCAGGAATTATCATTTCAGTAAGGGCGGATGTTCTTTATGTTTGTCTGCTAAGAACCATTTGTAAACATTATAGAGATGTGCAATTCAGGTGTTCGCTACATTTGATTAATCATTGGTTTTTCTTCAATGTTAACACAGACTGTGCGAGGAAAGTGCTTCGAGAAGTGCATCACCAAACCTGGCAGTAGCCTAAGTGGGAGTGAGAGCAGTTGTATCTCCAGGTGCGTGGATCGTTATATCGAGGCCACTGGTATAATTAGCAGGGCCCTCTTCAATGCACAGCGCTGAAATAACTATTGAAGAACTTTACTGTCTCAGGAATTCCTGGAGAATCAAGTATGAGTAGGCTTGGAATCACGATCCTTATTGATAATTTTTTACATTGATTCTAATGATGTATGAATAACTATAAACTTCAAGGTTGGCCACATAAACAATTTGCCTCTGTATGTTGGTTAATTTTGAATATTTTTTATGGAGTTATTGATATTTTATTCATAAATATGTGTTTTTTTACCTGCTGAGAAAGGTTTATTGGTTTAATCTCTGTGGCTGGAATCCCCTCCCCTCCCCTCTCCCACCCCAGGGTCTCTATTGGATTATATGGGGTCGTTTTTTCCTTCGACTTTCTGATTTGAAAAGGAAAGTACCTGTCATACATTCATTTAGATGACATTTTTAATGAGTCGCAATATATTAACTACAGTCTCCATTGTTAGTTCTTTTTTCCTGCCCATCAATTCAGGGTAGAGTCCATCCCCATTCTGGGAATACATGTTTTTGAGACTGCTGGCAGCTGATTATCTTGCTGGCATGGTTCATGTGTTATTAAAATGTTTGACCTTGACGGTATATGTGCATATTAACTTTCTTGTTGATATAAAGCTCACCATTCTTCAACTATTTTAGGTCCATATATACGGAGTTAATTAAATCATATATCAGCTCCTACCCTCTACCACCGCATGAGCCTGCAGCCCTGCTTCTTGCTTCTCCCTCCCAAGTCCCACCCCGTGTCACTCAACCCCTATTGGTTTCATTGCCCCGGTATCATTTTCTCCCCGCGCTCCCTTCTCCCTCTCACCCGGTTATTCCATCCCTCTTGGCTGTGGCATTACTGGGGACTTCCCGATTGTCCTGGGTAAGAAGGGGAAGGGGCGATTAAGATTTGTGGAAAAGAAGACTGTTTCCGAAATTTTTTGTCAAAACCGTAAGCAGAATTGAACAGTACCCCTTTAGTTGTAACCCAAAACTTAGCATAAAATTCGAACTGATGAAAGGAATAGAATCAATGTGAAAAACACAAATGTCAATAAGAATGAGATAGTTTTGCAAAACAAGAATAGAAAATTAAATTCTTTCTACATTATTAGTTAATACTGCGGCTGAAAAGAAACCAAACGTATCTAGAAATTTCAAAATCTTCCTTTAGCAAGGTACATCCCCAACACTGAATAACGTCGTGCGTCTTATCGTCCATCTACTTCCTCAAGGTATGCAAGATGTACTCAGCATAGAGGTTCCTGCAAAATTTGTGAAAAAAAATACACATTTTAGAAGATGAAAATTGTGACATAAGCCCCTTCAGATCGGATCCAAACATAAATATGAAGCTTACATGGAGTACTGGATGGCTTCTGTAGCAGTAGCTGAAGGCAGAAACTCATCCACTGCTACTTCCTTATTCTCGTTCTTCTTGTCTAAAATTGTGTCAAGAAAAAAAGTTCTGTTGTGTAATGTTACATGCTAATAACCTAAGATACCTAAAGAAAACTCAACACTAGCAATATCTTGAACCAAAAAAGTAGAAGGATACAATCTTCAAAGAAACGGCGGATTTCTTGAAGTCGGTGAGGTGGAAGCTGGCTGATATCGGTGTAGTGGCGAACCTCAGGATCGTCTGCACATACTGCAATGATCTTGTCATCTTTCTCTCCCTAATTTGAAACAAAAACTTGATATTATCAATCTTGAACCAATACAAGAAACGATTTAGCTGTGCTTTTGGTGGAGCAATCGAACCTGATCGATCATAGGCATCAATCCTATGGCCCTGGCACGAAGAAAACAACCAGGTACTACAGGCTCCTGTTTAAGAAATCAATTTAAATTAAATTAATATTGCTTATAATACTGGTGAATCTACTAGGAGGATATGGTTATCTTTCACTGTTTCTGGAATTGTATGATAGTTAACAGCTCAACTAGTGATAGCTTAGGATAGTTAACCAACCTGCATAAGAACTAGGACATCCATCGGGTCATTATCTTCGCATAGCGTTCGGGGAATGAAACCGTAATTGTGGGGATACACCACCGACGAATACAATACACGATCAACCTGGAAATTAAAGCAGTTACAATTAACCAAAAAAATATTAGAGCGACTCTTGATTTGCTTACACTGTTACACAGTTGAATACAGAAATATACTGTAATATAAGATTAGGTGATCCCATGATATGTACCTTGATCAGACCAGTTTTCTTGTCAAGTTCATATTTCACTTTACTCCCTTTTGGTATCTCAATCACCTGAAGGAGTACAGTAACATTGATAAGGAGTCACTGATAGTAGTTCAATTATCAACCTAAAGAACATTTATATGATTAAAAAAAGAAAAAGGAGATGGAGAAGCAGAAAGGTTACATACAACATTTATAATTTCAGGTGCATCAGGTCCTGCATGCATATATGTAAGACATCAGAATCTAATATTATTTGAAAGGTGAATAACTAACTAATTATATGATTGTTACCAATCTCAAGGTCATGCCAAGGATGAGCAGCCATTGATCTCCTTGACAAAGATGAGAGGATCCTCTCGTTTAAGCGAGGAGCTCGTCTTTGGTGTGAGGCTTGAGCTCCATTTTCATTTGTCTCGCTGGCCATTTTACTGAATACTGAAGAAGCAAATAAATGTCAAGCTTTTAGGATTCGACGAATTCTGTATTAAATTTTTGTGTATTCCTAAACTACAAATGGCGCTTGTATTTTGATTAAGCTCTGTGAAGTTGGAAAGACCAATATGCAATCCCTCCCTTTTGGAAAGACTTGTTTTACAATTGTGTCAATAAAGAATTCTTGATGCAGATCAGATCACAAATGATTTCATATAATTATGAACATCGATTACTAATATGGGGAGAAAGGTATGTTTCGACAGATCTGATGATCAAAATTATAAATCAAGAAAACATCAACCAATTGTTTGGGAGTTGAGTAGATTCAAAATGCACAGTACGTACCTGGAACGGGAGATTAGATATAGAACAGAGGTGAGGACGAAGAGAATTGGAATGAAGCTTAGCTTATATAGGCAGGTGAAGTTGTTCCTAATGTTATGCAGGTGGTGACAGACAGGCAGAGGAGCATAAATGGCGGACACTCGGATCTATATTGTCTATCTTTGGAGAATCAACACGACGCGTTCGTTCCTTGTAATGTGGGATCATATCTTTTGACTTTGTCTTGTAATAAATTAAATTATAAATTGCTCATTATTGGACCGAAATGCATCACATAATTAGTTAATTAGCAAGTATGAAAGCACGTATGTCCAAAGGAATTCTTTATACTACTGTATTTGGTGGTGCTGAATGTTTCCAACCATACAAGAAAAAGTCTACAAAAAATTGGTTGGTTTTGTGTTCACCATCAAATTCCACAAATATTTCTAAACAGATTCTTAAACCTTTGACTGAGATCGATCACAACGTGAATAAGTCTAATCAACTCCTGTTAATTGTAATCAAGACACAGCCCCTGTTTGATGAGGTTCAATGCTAGGCATAATAAGTATAAGGTCTTCAAAAAATCTCTTTTCAATCGTTATTTGGGGAAAATAGAGATTTGAATAGTAATTTTTAGAAGAAAATGCGGTTAAGTAAGGAAAAATTTTGAATTTACGTACAGAATATTTTATTTTGTGAATGTGGTTGAAAATGAGTATGTAGAAAAAAGAATTTGAAAATAATGACTATCAAACTGGGGCTTACTATATAGAATAGAAGCAAACCAAGACTCAAATTATCGAGTGAATGTGTGCGGTTATACAAAGGATGGACGCCCTTCAAGGCCTCCCTCAATGGGTAATTAAAACTCTCTATTTATAAAAGAAATTAAATCAACCCAAATCATGTTTGAGTTGCAAGAGGAAGACTGAGATAGTTAACAAGACTAAATGACCATTTTTTAATCACATTTTCAATGGCCTGCCTACACGCAGTAAACAAAGTCTACCACAGGACAGGACTCCTTTAGCAATTAAGTAGATGATTTGAACCTAATGCAGTGGATTATTAGTTTATCCTTTTAAAAGGCATAGTAACATGCACTTTCAGTCTAAAAACTCTCAGATCAGCAGCAGCAGAAAGTAGGAGATAGGATGGGCATATACATTTCTGAGCACTAAACAGAATTTACATCACCCACTTCCAAAACTACTGCTGAGGTGTAATTTTGTTATTTTCGTGAAACAGTGGATTCTTCATTCTTGGGGTGAAGACCATTGCCTAGAGATACAGAAAAATTCTATGTGACATTAGCCAACTATGGTAATTAGTAAAGTTATTGAGGTGGATTTGGATGTTGCTGAAGCCCCTGAAAACATTGTTGATGTTAGAAGTAAACTGCGATTCGATTTGATCACGATGAACTTTATCCCTCAAGGAAAACAAGGGACAGAGAGAGAATTCCTGGCTCTGGCAAAAGCAGCAAGTCTCACTTGTGGAGTTCTACAAATAATTTATCAACCAGGGCCAAGTTGTGTTGCTCTCCTCTCTAAATTTCAAAATTTCGTAATGTGAGTGCACAATAATGCTGATAAACAAAACCCATATATTAAACGGCAAAAACAGAGCAATATATATTGCTGGTAATGGAGCTAAATACCTAGCCTATGGTGAAGCACTGGTCTGCACAGTAACCAACACATCCAACAATTCCTAAAGATGCACTTTTCATGGCTGTCGAACAAAGCACTTACATTCTTTCCTAAGCCCTCATTCTTCCAATGGTAACGGTATAGTTACAGTTAACAAATGACACTGGACACCACCACAAAAGGGGACAGAAGTTCATGAACAACTGGTGGTAAAGAATGAAAGTGAGCAGTCAGTGTCTCGTCCAAAGTGTAACTATCCTTCACCAAAACTGAAGCAATTCAGAAAATATAAAGAAAATCAAAGTGTAGATAGCCTAAGCGATTCCAGGAATATTAGATAAAATAATAGTTTGATATACTACAGAAATAATTCACAAGTTCCAATGGGCTCTCTAACCCAAACAGTTACAACATCCAAACATAGTTTGATGCCTCACTCATCAGATATATTCTCTTTCTATCTGAATTGTGACATGACTGATGTTATATTCGCTCCTGATATAGCTGATGACTTTGTCCAGCACCATGTCAGCATCAGCTTCTGGACGAATTTTAACATGGCAAGCTAATAAAACTTTCCCCACTGTAATAGCCCATATATGCAATTCATGGATTGCAACAACTTCCTCCATCTCACAAAGACCCCTTTCAAGCTGTGTTGCATCAATCTCTCTCGGAGTGCTCTCCATAAGAACCTCAAGAATATTGCGTAGCATCTTAATGGTAGTGCCCAACACAATTACAGAAAAAATGAGAGTACAAATCAGATCAATGATTTTCCAATCTGGTTTATACCAGATAACTGCACCACCAATCATAACCCCAATGCTTTGTATGGAATCTCCTAGCACATGAAGGTAAGCCCCCTGAACATTAATATTCCACCGTTTCTGTTTATGGCTACCTTTTGGTTTACTTTCAGCTTCTGAGGAACTCTTAATCAAAGGTGCTTCAAGGTGTTCATCATGTATATGATGATGCTCATCGTGTTTGGTTTCTCCCTCATGATGGTTATAATGGCTGATTATGCTCACTCCATGGGTGTGCAAGTGGTCATCCTCATGGCCATGATCTTGGTGCTCATGTTCACGATGTCCATGATCGTGGCCATGTTCATGTGCATGACCATGTCCGTGATCATGTCCCAGCATGAGAGCCATAATCACGTTCACTAGTAATCCAAAAGCCGAAACAAGAAACATCAGAAAGCCCTTAACTTCACCTGAATCATGTGTGAGCCGAAAAATGGCTTCATAGACAAGAATCCCAGTAAGAAGCCATATCAACTGAATGGAAACAAGTGCCCCCAATATCTCTATTCTGAAAAATCCATAGGACTGTCGTGGGGTAGCTTCCCATCCTGCCGCCCATAGAGAAAACAACGATATTGCGAATGCTGCAACATCAGATAACAAATGAGCTGCATCTGTCAAAATTGCGAGACTGTTGGCTTTAATACCACCAACAACTTCAACACTCATGAATACAATGCACAACACAACTGCAATCAGAAGTTTTCTCATGGAAGCTGAACGCTCTTGTGCATCCCTGGAACTAGTCTTGGCATCAGAAAAACCACACGGTGCCTCTCCGCATACTTTGTTTCCACCAAAACCCTTTTCTGCAGCCGGCGCATCAATGGCTACCTCAACAATATGCCCATGCTCTGAATTTAATGAATCCATCTGCGAAAGAGCAACAAATTAACAGAAACGGTGAAGCATATAAATGTATGTGAAAGCGTTCAAAGAAAGTTCTTGATGTTGTACAATTGATTGATATCATTCAGCAAGTAGTATAATCCCAAACACAGCATCCAGGTATACATGGTAAGCAAGATTTCTTGACGTTGTACAATTGCTTGCAATCATTCAGCAAGTAGTACAATCCCAAACACAGCATCCAGATACACATGGCAAGCAAGATCCTTTAAATAAGAGATATAAAAGAATTTTCAACAAAATAGAGAAAAGTCTTATGGAGTAACTATGAAACAGATTAAGACTATAATGATATTCCATACAATTCATTTGGCAAAAGTTGTATGATGTATGTAATCTAGGAACAAGGACTAAAAAACATGTATGAGGCCATCAGCACGATTAAAACATAAGAATTTTATGGATTAGCATGAACCAAGCCAGTCAGCCAACTCCAATTATCACACAAAATTACTGAGGAAAACTAACTGGAGTGTTTCCATGATTAATTGTGAAGAAATCTTTCAGGTGCAGCTATGGTATATCCAAAATAACACTATCCAACAGTATTTATGCATTCGACAACTATAAGAATATGATAGCAAAATCCAGCAAGCATTCTACTATTACCCACCACTCCACCCCACCCCCAAAAAATAAATAAATAGAGAGAGAGATTAATGAAGCAGAATATCTCTCGATTGCTAGAGAAAGATATTAATCAAACATTTCAACAGACATTCAAAGGAAAAGTTTGACATGCATACCTTGAAACTCCAGAAATCATTGAAACCGATACAAATAGAACATTCATCAATGGAACTAAGGTGTAAATTATCAAGCAGGTTACAATATCTATTCAAATAGTGCCAAATACAGAACACCAAATAGGACAGCGAAAGAGGGATAAGAACGTCATAAAAGACGACACCAATGTACACCAACCATAACTCTTTTCAATTACAAAAAGGCTACAAAAAAGGTGATCAGAAAGAGTTAAACACCTCATACAGTTTCTTCTAAAAGGATCGAGACAAATTATACACACAACCAAAAAAATACGAAAATCATAAAGAATCGAATTTCAATTTGACGCATCAGATCTCATTATTACGTTCGAAATTCAAAAAATAATTGCTCGAAATACATTGAAGTTAAATTTGAGATGGATATAATTGAAGAAATTGATGATTGAATCTGAAAGGAATCGTAAGGGTACCTTTTTGCACGTTACAATTCAAAAGGAAGGTTCTGAGATTATTGAACTCAAAAAGAATTGAATTTTTGCTCATTACTCATTAGAGAGAGATGTTTGTTTTTGTTTGAGAAGAAAGATTCGAATATTACAATAAAGTAGGAGTTAGTCTTTGAATATCTATTTTCCATGATAGGGCTGGCCCCGCCTATCATGTCTAATTAATAAAAATGGAATTAAAGTTTGACCCTCCATCATTTGTCAAAATTACCTCGTCAAATTTGATGTACATGTAACAATTGTAATTGATTTGATATACTGATAAAGAACATAATGAATTTTGACTAAAAGCCTAAGTTCATTAATTTGATTTAATAATTTCTATTGTGAATGTGATCGATGAATCGAGTAGCTGGCCACCATAAATGTTACCGTCAATAAATAATGAGACAATGAACGGCTGAGAAAGATGATTAAAAAATAATATTATTCATAATCATGTCACGTAATAATCTCGAAATGAGCTTTTGGGCATTTGGCTCATTTAAATTGGACAAGTCCGAGTCCAATTGACGACAAAAATATACGTTTCCAGATTAGCTAAGTGCGTTGCATAATTCTTTATACATTTAGGGTGCATTTGATTGTAAAAGTGAAAAACATATGGAAATAAAATATTTTACAGGAAATTGAATTGCCTATAAATTGTTTTATTGAGAATTGTAATTAATTGTGCTTGATTGGTATAATTTTTCACTTGAAAAATGTTGAAAGTTTGATATCCGTTTGATTTCGTTTTTTATGGAAATTATCTGTTATAGGAAGAACAGGTGCAGGTGCAATGCATAATATTGGGCAGAGCTGTTTTAGATTAAGACTAATTTTCCACTTTAGTAATTCTTAGAATAATACTATTCATAATGAAAACTATTCGCAGTCCTAGAGCCTGTTTGGTACACATTAAAATGAGAGAATGCATTTTTTTGAAGTGATATAATGGAGAATATGTGGTTGAAAAAGAAGGAAAAGTTATTGATGTGATGGAAAATATTATTTTATTGAAGAATGTGTGATTGTAAATGGGTAAAAGAATGAGAATGAAAAATATAATGTGGCCCAAACAGAGGCCTAATGTTCCTCGTCATCATCGATTGCAAGTCATCTCACGTAATAATCTTGAAATGACATTTTGGACATTTGGCTCATTTAAATTGGACAAGTCCAAGTCCAACTGACGACAAAAATATACCTTTCCAAATTAGCTAAGTATGGTGCATAATTCTTTATACATTTATTGAAATATCTATCTAATATTCAATATAAATGTGAGAATAGTCTACAAGTGCATATATTAATAGTCTATATTATCTAATAATAAAACCAACGATGATTTATTATATTACTGACACCTACAAGTGTCCTCAATTGACATTATAATGAATTATAAAAACTCTTGTAAATTCAAAATTGTCCTAAGTTAAAATTTTAATGAGAAATTCATTAAAATCTAGATGTATGCAATTGATGAGATTCTTATGAACTCTATGAACATTTTTTAAATTCATGAAATTCATTAGAATGTATAATTTTTTAAAATTCATTATAATCTGAGATGAGGACAACCTTATTAATTTTGAATCAATATGTCTATTATTGCCTTGTGGACTGCATAAACTTGACTAATGTAAATAAATACAAACAAACACAATATCATAATGTCAGTATCAATTACTCATTCCTTTTTATAAGAAAATATTAATCTTTTCTTTAAAACTCATTTATAATAGTCTTCATTTTTTTTTTCAAATTCATTTTCGATCACGTACGCATGAAACTCACAATTTTTATCAACTTTTTAACCAAACATTAAATAGAGTGTGTAGAATTAATGCAGGAACTTAGAGAGCTTTGTAATTGTAACCATGTGTTCCCTAGAGATTGTTTTGGACATTTCTTACAATTTCCACTAATAAAAATGGAATTAAAGATTGGCCCTCCATCCTGTGTCAAAAGAAAAATGTTATTCATCCCTAGTGAGATCATCCCCAATCTACGTGGATGTAAATGATAGGTAAAATTAAATGACTTATTTAATTTCACCTATCATTTAATGTCACATTAACGCCACATAGACTGATGATGCATCCCCAATGAGGATGAATAGCATTTCTCGTGTCAAAATCACCTCGTAGCAGTGTTAAATTTGATACACATGTAACAAGATTGTAAACAAGATAATGAATTTTGACTAAAAACCGAAGTTCATTAATTTGATTTAATAATTTCTATTGTGGATGTGATCTATGAATCAAGTAGCTGGCCACCATAAATGTTACAGTAAATAATGAGACAATGATCGGCTAAGAAATGATGATTAAAAAATAATATTATCCATAGTCATCGATTGCAAATCATCTCACGTAATCATCTTGAAATGACATTTTGGGCATTTGGCTCATTTAAATTGGACAAGTCCAAGTCCAACTGACGACAAAAATATACCTTTCCAAATTAGCTAAGTATGGTGCATAATTCTTTATACATTTAATGAAATATCTATCTAATATTCTCAATATAAATGTGAGAATAGTCTACAAGTGCATGTATTAATAGTCTATATTATCTAATAATAAAACCAACGATGATTTATTATATTACTGACACCTACAAGCGTCCTCGATTGAGATTATAATGAATTATAAAAATTCTTCTAAATTCAAAATTGTCCTCAGTTAAAATTTTAATGAGAAATTCATTAAAATATAGATGTATCCAATTGATGAGATTCTTATGAAGTCTATGAAAATCTTTTAAATTCATTAGAATTTATAATTTTTTTAAAATTCAATATAATCTGAGATGAGGACAACCTTATTAATTTTGAATCAATATGTCTATTATTGCCTTGTGGACTGCATAAACACAATATCATAATGTCAGTATCAATTACTCTCCCACAAACTCATTCCTTTTTATAAGAAAATATTAATCTTTTATTTAGTCTTATTTTTTTTTTCAAATTCATTTTCAATTACATACGCATGAAACTCACAATTTTTTAACCAAACATTAAAAAGAGTGTGTAGAATTAATGCAGGAACTTAGAGAGCTTTGTAATCGTAACCATGTGTTCCCTAGAGATTGTTTAGATAAATGGATTGAAGAGGGTCAAGTCACTTCCCCTTTGTGTAGATCTATGGTGCTTCTTCCTACAACCAGAACAAATCATCCTGTAATATTTAGATTTTACTCAAACTTATTATTATTATTATTATTACAGTTTTGAATCTCAAATGATTATTTTGCAATTTTATAGCCCTTGACGATACATAATTAGGGTTTCTAGCTCTCAACAATTTTTTTCATATCGATTCAATAATATATCTAAAAAAAAGAGGCCAAATAAATGAGTGATTTCGTCGATGACGTCCAAGAATCATAGTAAATTTGGATAATGTTGTGCAGACATCACAAAATCCACAGAGAAAGTCTTCTAGACAACACAAAGTCTATAGACTTTATGTGCAACACAATCACGGACTATATCCAATAAAATAGTGTTATATAGCATCAATCTAGGTGTGAGTGGATGGAAGACTATCAGACTTGTTCAATGAGTTAGAATCTATTGTATAATTAAAATAGGACCTCCACTATTACCTAAATTGGTGTGGTACTAACAGTATTTCTCTTTTAGATTCAGTACACCTGTATTACCATTACTTGTAGAGTTGTAGTAATTGTCATTTGTCATTAAGCTCTATTTTGATCCCAATTTTTCAAAAATTAT